TTGGTTTTGCTGTTCGGTGCTTTCTACCATCTTTATTACCGATTTGCTTTACTGTTTGTTATATATGTTGAATTGCTCCATGTACAGCACTTTGTATGCAGCGATGGCTGTTTGAAAATGCTCTATAAATACAGTTGAGTTGAGTTGAGTTGAGAATTCCTTCATTAGGCTTTCTACCATCGACGCTTTTGTGTCAACTTTCACGACAATGTCTTTCTGGAGGTTTTTTTGCAGCCCAAAACACAGGTCAAATACGCCCTCTTATGGCCGGTTGTTTTCAGTGTGACAGATGATAGTGTTTTCCTCGACACGTACATATTGTAATGCCCTTCAGTAGTGGAGAGAAGGATGCACGCAGTCGCTGATACAATTCGTCGTTTTTAATAAACAAAAATAGGCAATAAACACACGCATTCATACGAGTTGCTGTCAGCCACAACTCACGCCCATGCGCTTACACTCAGACTAACTACCGGAGCCAATATTCCCCCAACCTGGCTCCTCCCCTTTCTATGACGTCACACCAATACAAGACACAGATATTACACTGCCCTCCCCTTTATGAAACCCTCGCCCCGAGGGTTCAACAAAAAAAGTCCTCCAGTCGTCGTGCTCTTCGTCTCCGTCTCTGTGGTCGGCCTGGCTCTGAGTCGACACCACCTCCAGCTAGCTGACTCGGGACAACATTGGTGGGATCTGGGGAACAGGGATCCACCACATGTTCTGAACTGGCGGATGAAGCGGACCCCGCCTCAAATACAGGAACACCGCTGCCCCGGTAGGGGGCCAACCTGTCCCGATGTAGGGCAACCTTTCTGCCCCTGGGGGGGACTGCCACCCGATAAACTACCTCCCCCACCCGCTCAAGTACCCTACATGGCCCGTCCCAATGGCTGTCTAGCTTGGGGCAGCGCCCTTTTTTTCTTTTAGGTGTATACACCCAAACCAGTTCCCCAATCTGGAAGTTCCGCCCCTTGCTCCGCACGTCATAGTTTCGCTTTTGACGTGCACCGGCTTTCTCCAGCTGGTCCCGTGCGAACGCGTGCGCTGCCTC